AGTGCCCCGGGGCATGGTTTCCTGGGTCTTGGGTGATTTCCTCCAGGGACAGTGAGTGCCACACCTCCATGGCCAGGAGGCGGTGCCTCCCAGGCATGCAGGCTGCGTGTTAGTGGGCAGCCCGGCCTGCGGACTGGGGAAAGTGCCCGGCAGGGGTGGAGGGAGCAGCAGGGCACGTGCATGTGGCACTGCGAATCAGCACCGACCCCTGAGTGCCAGCGGCAGAGTTACTGTATGCTATGCTTGTGAGTCATGTGGTGGCTGCAAAGCCTTTCAGGCACGGCCAGCTGAGTACTCGAGGCTTGAGCCTTGCAGGTGATGAGGAAACGAGTCAAGGTCGAATGTGCAGTTGTAGCAAGTCAGGGCCGGCAGGGTGCTGCCGAGATTAGGCTGTGTTGATCTGATTAACCATTAGGCCTTGGGGGGGTCCTGACAGACACAGGCGAGTTTCTGTTCTACTGACCCATCGGGACGAGTCTGTCAGGGTGCTGCCAGGAGGAAGCAGAGAGGTGTTGGCTTCCTGCTGGCTTAACGAGAGGGCCAGGGGACCCAGAGGTCATGGCTGCCAAGGGCCCCTTCATCTCAGCCCGGCTACCCCAGGCCTGCTGCCCGTCCACGCTGGCGGTTAGGAGGGTGGGGTGTACAGTAGGACTGCCTCCTTCTCCTCCCACTGGCTCTGCCTGGTGGTGGCTCCTGCCGTCAGCCTGAGTCCACGACCTCCAGGCTCTGGAGTGAGTGGCGCAAGTGTGGACAGCTTGGGGTGGATACCAAGAAAGGGGGTATTGGGAGGAAGCTGGGATGTTGCTTCTGCCTGTGCCCTGGACCGTGAAGGGAGCTAGACTGTCCCCATACCCAGGCTTCTCCTGCCTCTTTCAGAACATGGCAGAGAAGTTTCTGGATGGAGAGCTTCCTCTGGACTCCTTCATTGATGTCTATCAGAGCAAACGCAAACTGGCCCACATGCGAAGAGTAAAAATCGAGAAGCTCCAGGAGATGGTGCTGAAGGGGCAGAGACTCCCGCAGGCCCCAGCCCCGCTGCCGCCCAGGGTGCCCGAGCCGGCGTCTGCTGCCCCTCTGCCTTACCCCACCCTGGAGGCCAGCGGGCCTCCCTCCGTCGTGCCTCGGCGCATCCCCCCGCCACCGCCCCCGGTGCCTGCAGGACGCTTAGCCACCCCATTTACCGCCGCCATGGGCTCAGGACAGGCCGTGCCCTACCCGGGATTACAGTGTCCGCCCCTGCCCCCCCGAGTGGGCCTCCCGCCCCAGCAAGGATTCTCTGCGCAGTTTGTGTCGCCGTACCCGCCAGCTCTGCCCCAGAGACCCCCACCCCGGCTGCCTCCACACCAGCCGGGCTTCATCCTCCAGTGAGCGTCATCCTCCCGTGAGCGCCGGCGCCCCGTCCTTCCTGGGAGACGCCCTCCGCCCATCATGCCACGTCTGCGCTGAGGGCTCTGTGCCCTGGGCCAGTGTGTCCATCTGATTTTAGAACTGTAGGTCCGTGGGGAAGTAGAAGTAGAAGCCCAGGTTTTGTACACTTGAGGCCATTGTGTGTGCCGGGTCACAGCCCAGCGTCCCGTGCGTTTTGTTGGTTTGCATTCTTGGTATGATTTCTGAGTATCGCAGTGTTGATGGACTCATGCGCTTGGGAAGAAACAAAGCCTCTCCCATTCCCACTTAGAATTACGGTCCTCCCATCGCAGCTTTATTTAATGAGCATGGTTAACGATGTGTTTTATGTTCAAAAGACAGTTCTGTGTATCTTGGCCCACTGGCTACTGCAGCCCTGGTCAGGGTCGGCACTGTTGGCCGCCCAGAAAGGGTGCCGGTGGCTGGGCCACGAAGTGCAGCTGCGTTGCGCTCCTGGAATCTGTTTGGGGTAGGTCGTCACAGTCACCCCCATCCCCTACTTGGCTGCTTCTCATGCCGCAAAGCCACGAGCAAAGTTTGCACTTGGCCCAGGGCTGGGGAGCTGCGGCCCTGGGTGCGAGGAGACCGCAGGAGCTGGATTTCGCACAGCAAACCGTCGCCAGCCCCTCCCCTCCCACCTAGAGCCGGCCCGAGGGTTTCTATGAAGAAACACTCCCCCGATATTTTTACTACCTGTGTAATATTCCTGTTTTATATTCGGAAAGAAAACTCTTTTGACACTCCCAAGACCATTCAGGGAAATTTTATAAAAAAAAACATCGTTTTGAGCAGATTGAAATGCAGATGACATGAATGCAACTTCCTTTCTCGCAGGCAATGCACGGTCACACCTGCGGGTGCCCTGCTGTGCCTTAGCTTCACCAGGTGCCAGGCCTCAGATGCCTGCAAGGGGCTGGGCAGAGCCCCCCCCCGCCGGTGCTCTGCATTCTCAGAAGGGCTTGTTCGAGTTCATTGTTTCGATGCAGGTGGAAGAAAGGTCTGGCCACTTCAAACCAGGATTCTCTTAGCCAATGTTCTCTTCCTCTGGCCGGCTGGTGGCTGGGCCTCGGGCGACTGGCCCAGGGTGCAGCGGTGCTGCAGGTGTCAGGCGGGGGCGCCAGGAGGGTTCGGAGAAAGCCCACCCCCTGGGATTGAGGGGTGGAGGGTACACTCTGGCAACCTGCACCGCCTCTTCCTTTCCTTCTGGGATCTCTCTGTGTGCCACGTGTGCTGAATCCCAGGTCCCAGCTGGGGGAAGCAGCACCACACACCTGTTGACAAAACCCTGTGTGCTCATTGGTGGAACTTCTGGCCATACCCTCAGCTGTCACCCAGGGTGACAGAAATAAGGCAGAGCTGAAACAGGGTCTGTCCCAGTGGCCCATGGTCTACGCCGCCAACTTTTGTCCTCAATTACTGTATACTCCTGCTTCCGGACTTGAACTCTCTTGTAACTGTTTTTTTAAAGAAAACGGAGCCGCAAAGGATGATTCACTGCCACACCAATCAGGTGGGCTTGCCATGTTCTGTGAATCTCGAGCGAGTGGTGCCACCCACCTCCAATACCTCTGCTGCCGGCCTGCCGCTGGGGATGCCTGCAGCCCGGCAGGGGCCACGGCCAGACGCAAGCTCGGTGTTGATGTTGTGCGGGCCGCCAGGCTGGGCCTGCTGTCGCTGTCCAGGGCCACGTCTGGCACTGTGGTTGTAAAGCTATAGGACCCTTTTTAATAAATAGAGAATTATTAATAATAGTCCTGCCACTTATTTACCTGGGGTTGTGGATGTTCATGATGTGTTTGGTTCTAAAAGTCATTGATCAGAGTTCCAGGGGGGAAGGTGACCGTTGTTGAAGTTAAAAACAAAAGCCTCTGAAGACTGAAGGCTCTGCCTGTCCAGGGTCCCTGATGCTAACAACAGGGTCTTCTGTTCTCTTGGATTCTTACAAGAGAGTCTGTTCATAAACACCCATGACGGGCAGAAAGAAGCACATCCTCCTGTGTGTATTAGAAACCCGTGTCTGCAGGGCCGAAGCTGCAGTGTCAGGGCTTGGGCTGTTTTTGGCCTCTGTACACGGGTCACTGCCATGTGCTGTGCCACCGATGGAGACCCTAGTTAGGACCTCTGCTTGTTTCAAATGGGAAAATTTCAGTGGTTCTGACATCTTGCTTTGGGGACTTGCTGGCAGGTGTTTTAAGGGGACACAGTGGCCCCTGCCCAGAGCAAGGCCCAGAGGGGTGCTGCTTCCCTCAAGGCTGGGAGGGGTCCCCTTCCAGCCCTGCCTCCTGTGCAGAGCTCCACACTGTGCCCTCGTGTGCCCACCGCCTGGAATGAGCTGTGCGCCTGTGCCCTCATGTGCCCACCACCCCGGACGAGCTGTTTATCTGGGCCACAATGCCTGCGCCAAGGACTCTGGGAACACCAAGGTGGGTGCAAGCTTACCCATTGCTCTCTAAATAGGCTGCCATTCCTGGCACATCATTGTGTCATGAGGCTGTGCAGGAAAAATTTATGGTTTTCCTGTTAGGAAGAGGGACGCTTTTCCTGAGAAATTAGTCTGCCTTTTTTATAAAAGTGTGTCCCATATTTTCTCTTTTTCCAGTGGCTGCTAGGAAGCTTATAGCTGAATCCATCGTCCACCTCCAGTGAGGATGCTGGGCTGCACAGTGAGTGCTGTGGTTTCTCATCAGCTCCGCTTGTTAGATCCTCCCCTCTGTGAGCAAAGGTACCAGGGAGGGGCAGTGACCAATTCCAGGGTGAGTAGCAGGTGGGGGTGCCAAGGCCATACAAGGCTTCAGATTTCTAGCCCAACACTCCTGAGGTGGAGTCTCCAGTGTAAGGTCTGATCGTTGAGGACTTAAAAATGCCAACTCAAGTTTCCTCGGATCATTTTAAGTAGAGTCAGCTCATGCCAGCTTGCGCTGGTTTATATTTAGCAAAGAGAATCATTTGCTTTAGTGTTCTCTGCGGCTGTTGAGCCTTACGTACGGGAATGAGGCACAGGCTCCGTCCCGCCAGCCCTTATGTTACAGTGACCACAGTTTGTGAAGCACTTCCACGCACAGGGTCCCATCTGCCCAGCACAAGTGCCTGGGTGTGCAGGAGCCACCTGCTCTGGAGCCATCCAAGGTGAGTTTCACCCCTGATTTGCACCGTCCTTTTGTTCCATCAATGCTGGTGACCTGGGGACAACAAGGCAGGGCTGCCCCAGCCTTCCCTTTGGCATACGCTCCTGGGGAAGTGGGTGCTGCAGGGCCAGCTGCGCACTGGGACCTGGACACTCTGCAAGTCCTCTCATAGAAAGGCTGTGTGTGGCCATGAGGGTTGAGGCCAGACCAGCTGGAGTCAGGGTCCCTAGGAAGCTTAGGAATTGTCAACAAATGTGTGGTCTCAGACACGCCGAGGGGTCAACAACCCGTGGGGGCCCTGAGGTTCTTGTCTTGGGAATGGAGATAGCCTGGGGCGGGTGGCCAACTCCGGGCCACCTGTGTGAAAGGAGAGCCCTGTGGCCTGTAAATTGCCCAGAGATGGGGGGTGGGCACTTGGCAGAACCATTAGCAGCACTAGCGAGGTTCTCTGGTCCCAAGGGCTCTAGTGTTACCTGCAGAAATTACAGGGTCCCCTACCCAGTACCTGGACAGAGCCTGGTGAGGTGACCAGCACGTACCCCTGGAGAAATGAGCCAGGTGCAGCCCCTCACTCTGGGGCATTGGTGACAACAGTCAAAGTGCATTTTATTGCCAACGGAACACTTCAACACGAGGAAGTACTAACGAAGCAGCTCTGCCCCTCCCAAACTGTGCCCAGTATGCACAGGGCCAAGTGGGAGGGCAGGGTGCTGGTCCAGCCTAGTGCTGGCTCTGCCCTCCCAGCCTGGTCCCCACCCCTGCAGCCACTCCCTTCGGCTCAGGGAACACATTCGTTCAAGTTGGACAGCGGCAAACAAAGGCAGGCCAGCGTTCCCCAGCCCCAGACCACCCTGATGGGTTTCTGGGCTTTTTCTGGCTGAGCTGGAGAATGCAGGGCAGGGCCAGCCAGGCCAGGGGAAGGGAAAACAGGAAACAGAGGGTGGCTGCAGATTCCAGCCAGAAGTGGAAACCCCAGGAGGGAAGGCTGGGCTGCCTGCAGGCTCGGGGTTCCTGCCACCTCCCTGCCTTGCTCCCCAGACAGCAGCCACTTCCGACCTCCTTCTGGGGGGGCTTGCAGGAGGGATGCTCTAGGGTTGCCCCAAGAAGCGGGCAGCACCCCTCCAGCCCATCCCAGAGCCTCATCTGCTGAGACCACATGGCCTGAGGGCCTATGTGGAATCAGGGCCCCACAGAAGGTGGCAGACAGGAGGTCTCAGCAAGTCCAGAAGGCAGGGGGCCCCTCCAGTAGCCCTGTTTCCCAGTGTGCTATCAACTTAGAAGAAAAGCTCTAACTCAGAATATTAAAAATGTTCCATATATTTCCTGAAGAGTTGTGGCTCAGGCCTCCTGGGTCCCAGGTGCTCTCCCAGGCTCCTTCTGCAGATAAATAGACTCGAATCCAGAAGAACCATCTGCATGACCCGGGCTCAGTGAGGGCCAGGGACCTTGAGGACACTGACCCAGGCTGGGGGCTTGGCCACCAGGTGCAGGGGGTGAGGCCCCTCGGCCACTGGAGGCCCAGGCCTGTCCACCAGCTGCCCTGCCAGACCCCTGGGGGGCCTAGTAGTTCACGAGTTGAGCCGGGTAGACACCGTCCTTTTTGTCGAGCTGCAGGGGTCAAAGGTAGGTGGCTCAGTGGATGTGGCCAGGGGCATGAGGCACAGCCTGGGCCAGCACCCCATGACGTGCCCCTCCCCCCCCCAGCCCCCAGTGGTGATGCCCGGCACCTGGTGTTCCTGTCTGGGGACGACGCTGGGCTTCTGGGCCAAGGGTGGCTTCTTGGTGGTCATACTTCGAGGGGCGGCGCTGGGCCGGCCTGGCTCCTCCTCACTGGGTGTTGCCCCTGCCCCGGCCAGCGCGTAGTGCCGCTTCCGCAGCTCCCCAAGCCGCATGCGCTCGGCCTCCAGTGTCATCTCTAGCTCTAGGACACGCACCTGCAGCCCACACGGCCCGTCAGCACAGCCCACCTCCCCAGGGAGGACACCACCACCACCCGGGGTTCAGCCTAACAGGGACGAGCTCCATAGCCATGGGCACCTACCTGAGTCTCCATCTCCTGCTTCTTAAGCTTGATGAGGGACAGGCCAGAGAAGTCCATGGTGTCTGTGGCCAGAGGGCACGGGGTAAGTGTCTGGGCACCACTCCCACCCATCCCTGGGAGCTGGCAGTGCCCTCAGACGCTCACCTCTATCTTCAATCTGCTCCTGGCCTGACTTGGTGGAGGCCACCACGCCGGCTGCCCTCTCGTTGACGGTGCGGGAGCATTCCTGCAGGCGGCTCAGGTGGGGGCTGTGCTTGTCGGCCTTTACCTGGGGGGGTTGTCAGGGTAGGCCCCAGGCTTGTGAGCTACAGCCAGCAGTTAGGGACCCCCGGGCCAAGCGTGGAGCCTGAGTCGGCAGATGCCAGTGCACAGCCTTACCTTGGAGGCTGCCACCAGCTGGGCAGTGCTGGCCGCGATCTCATGGGAGCAGACAATGAGCTCTTTGTACTTGCCCGTGTGAAGCACCACTCTGTCAGCTGACTCCCTGGGGGGTGAGGCCGGTCAGGGGCAGGGTCTCTGACCCCAAGGGCAGTGGGGCCACTCCCTGACACTTAGCACCACATCCCTGCTGCTCCCCCCATTGGCAGGAAGCAGACCCCTACCCCCCCAACCCAGGGCGACATACACCAGCTGTGTGGCTCCCCAGCCCACTGCCTTGGAGGCTGAGATGAGGCCTTCAGTCCAGCGCGAGTTCTTGGCGTAAAATTCCTGCTGCGTGGCTGCCCCCTAGTGGAGACAGGGCAGGATAGGCCAGTCAAGGACATCACAGGAGGAAAAGGGGTCCCTGGCAGGCCCTTCTCCCCTCACCTCAGCCCCAGGGCACATCCCTGTGTTAGGGGATGGGGGTATCTCATCAGCTGCACACTTAGGGCCCTCGTGCCCCTTTCAGGAATGTGTCCCTTGCTGGCTCAGCTCTGTGGCCTGCCTGGGGAGGTGCTGCCAGACCACAGCCCGCACAGCTCACCCTGCCGCTCTCCACGATTTCCTTCTGCAGGCTGGTGGACGTCATCACCAGCAGCCGGATCGCCTGCCAAGACCAAAATGCGCGTGACTCTCCGGCAGCCCTCCAGGTAGAGCCCGCCCCGGGGCCACAGCCACCCACTCACCTTCATGAGGTCTGTGCAGGAGTTGAGGATCCTGTGGGGAGAGAAGGGCGAGACCAGCTGTTCCTCTGAGGCACGGCCCCTGTGACACCACAGCAGGGCCCCCACACGTGAGGAACATGTCTGCTCACTCCCAGGCCTTCCTCTGCGGCGTGCTATGCAGTCAGGGGACAGAACACCCTGGACCAGGGAGGGCCGTGGGGAACCCACCACCCTATTCTGGGCCCGAGAGCAGAAGAGGGCTCACCTCTCATTCACTTCCAGCTTCACGCCCGAGCTGGCGTGGCGGGCCTGGTTCATCATGTCCTACACCCAACGACAAAGCGGTGAGTGGGGGAGGGCCCCCCAGCCTGTGGTCCTGGGGTTCAGGGCAGGAAAGCCACGGCTACCTCCTACCCTCCCAGCTCTGACCTCAGGGGCCCTGGAAAATGCTTTCTGTCCCCTGCCTGCAGCCCCCAAGGCTCTGCGGGAACTGAGGTGTCCCCACGCACCAACCTTACCTCGATCCTTCGCACAGCATCTTCAATGGCCGCAGACGTGGCTGCCATCTCCTTGTCCACCATGGCCCCCAGCTCCTCCTGCCGCACATCCAGGCTCTTGGGCTTTAGCTCCTGGGGAAGGCAGGAGTCTGACTTGGGTGGGCTGGATCCCTCCAAGCCCACAGGGCTCTGGGTGGGGTGTGGTTCCTGCCCAGCTTCCTGTGGTCTTGCGCCTCACCTGGCCCAGCTGAAGGATGCCCTGCAGGGGGATCCGCACCAGGCCAGGCTGTGCCCGCCGCAGAGCCTGCTGGTCCTGCAGCTGCCCCACGAGCTCCAGGGCCCGGGCCCCACACTCCCTGCAGGTGTCGATCAGGCCTGAGGAGGAAGAAAGCCCCCGTGATGTTGCTGCACACAGGCCCTGACGCATGGACGCATCTGCAGGCCCCCTCCCCAGGCTGCCATGAAGACCCCATGGGAGACAAGCCGGTGAGGTGGCTGCCCTGCCGCCCATGACCCACTTACGGTCAGCAGGGTCCGTGGGGGCCAGGTGGGAGGTGGCACTGCCATTGACGATGGTGTCCGCAGCCAGGTGGGAAAACCGGGTCAGGGCTGCCACCAGGGTGGAGGCATCTGTGCAGGAAGACAGCCATGAGAGGCTAGCGCAGGGCCCTCATCACCAGCAGGCTGCCCTGTCTCATCCTCCCAGCAAACCCCAGACAAGGACGAGGAAAGGAGGGCTTGGTGAGATGGGGCGGCCTAAGGTCAAGCAGCCCCAAGGCCGCAGGAACCAAGCCTGGTTCTGTGCCGCCCCTGCCTGTTGGCCCACAGGGCAGGCTGGGCTCCTGGTGGGAGGGAGGAGCCTCTGCTGAGCTGCCTGAAGAGGTTCCTGGTGTCCAGAAAACCTCCGCCAAAGGCAGGAACAGGCCATGATGGCTGGCCCCAGGCCCCAGCCCACCGGCCTCCTGCCCGGCTCCCCCGCACTCACCTGCCAAGGAGGGGAGGTACTGGGCGTGGCCCTCCTCCAGGGCGCTCACGGAGTCCAAGGCAGCCTGGGCCCTGCTCACCAGGTAGTCTGCAAGCACAGGGAGAACCTGAGGCCCCTGCCACCTGCCTCTGAGTGTTGGGGACGGGAAGGAGGCGCGGGCCCCCGTTCGCACCTGGAGAGCTGGTGCAGCGCAGGTGCAGAGGATCGTCCAGCCTGCTCACGGCGTCCTGCAGGATGGCCTCGGCCTCCGCAGCAGCGCCCCTGAGCACCGCAAACTGCTCGTCCAGCAGCTGCTGCCGCAGCCCCTGCTCCTGCAACTCCTGGCGGGAGTGGGGAGAGCTGGCTCAGAGAACACACCCCCACCTGGGCCCAGCTGAGACCCTTACGGTGGAGGAGCTGCCCTCACCTGGAGTGGGTGGAGACTTCCAAAGAGGGGGTCCCACTCCATCCCCCCAAGGCACGAGCTGTTCCCGCTCAAGAGAGGGGTGACCAGCTCAGTAAGAAAAAGATAACCCTGTGATCTAAACAGACATTTTTCCAGAGATGCACCACTGGCCAGTGAGCACGTGAAAGGGCATACAGCATTAGCCCTTAGGGAAATGCAAATCAACACCGCAAGAGAGGCCGGCCATGGTGGCTCACGCCTGTAATCCTAGCACTCTGGGAGGATCACTCAACATCAGGAGTTCCAGACCAGCCTGAGCAAGAGTGAGACGTCGTCTCCACTAAAAATAGAAATTAGCTGGACAACTAAAAATATACAGAAAAAATTAGCCGGGCATGGTGGCGCATGCCTGTAGTCCCAGCTACTCGGGAGGCCGAGGCAGCAGGATGGCTTGAGGTTGCTGTGAGCTGGACTGATGCCACGGCACTCTAGGCTGGGCAACAGAGCAAAACTGTCTCAAAAAACAAACCCACAAGAGAAACCCCTTCACACCCACTGGGATGGCTACAATAAAGGCAGACAATACTAAGTGTTTGCAAGGATGTAGATAAATTGGAACTCTCATGCGTTGCTGGTGGGAATGTAAAATGGTGTAGCTACTTTGGAAAAAAGCCTGGCAGTTCCTCAAAATGTTGAATGTATAGCTACCACGTGACCCACATGTGCTAGGTATCTACTGGAGAAATGAAAGGGCTGGTCCGAAGGTGGCGAGTTCTCTCACTTGATTGTTCACAGTTACAGATTGAACTCCTTGTTCTACTGCTTTCTCCCCACTGCACTTGACTAGTCTTAAAAAAAAAAAAATGAAAGCCTTTGTCCACACAGAAACCTGCACACAAACGCTCACAGCAGCCAAAACATGGAAACCACCTCAGTGTCTGTCAGCTGATGACACATAAACCAAATGTGATCTACCCGGATACTGAAACGTTACTCGGCCATGAAAAAGGAGTACTGACATACACCACAGACGAACCTTGAACACATGATGCTAAGTGAAACCAGTCAGTCACAAAGGCCACATGTTGTGTGACCGCATGTACACAAAATATCTAGAACAGGCAAATCCACAGAGATAGAAAGACTGGGGGTTGCCAGGATGGGACTAACTGGTTCCTGGGTCAGGAGTTTCTGTTCTGAGTGCTGAGAATGTTCTGGCAGCACAAGAGGGATGCCTGGCCCCTGACCACTCTAAGCACAAGGGCCCAGGCTGAACTTGAGGGCTGCGGCCTATGAGCACGGCAGTGACGGGGGAGCGGGGGGCGGGTCCCGTACCTTCTCTGCCAGCCGCGCCTGTAGCTCGCCCCGCTCCCGGGAGCCGCGCTGCTGCTCCTGGCTCAGCGCCACCTCCTTCTCACGCACCAGGCTCTGGGCTGCCAGCAGATCGGCCTCCCGCTGCTGCACGGCCCCACTCAGCGTGTCCTTCTCTGCGCGCAGCACCTCCAGCCTCGAGCTCAGCTCCGACCCGCTCTGCGGACGGGGAGCACATGAGCAGGGCCCCCCCTTATTTCCAGACCAGGGGTGGGGTAACTGACTACCCCTCATTGGACTTGGAGCTTCTTCCTGAGGGCCCCCTAAACCCAGTGGCATCTAGGCGTGGCCCATTCATAGAGGACCTGACTGCCCCACCTGCTCCCAGGACACCCCCCCCAGCCCCCGGCAGCCAGCAGCACCTGCTCTGTGTGGCTCAGGACCTCGTGCACGCGGGCCAGCTCCCCGGCCTTGGTCTCCAGCTCCCTCTTGAGCTTCTCCAGTTGGTCGCTCTGCTCCTCCAACTGGGACAGGACAGCGTGTCACTGGGGCAGCGGGCTGGGCTACTTGGGGCCGAGCCATGTGCATGCTCCTGCACGCACGCACACACACACACACACACACACACACACCCACGTACACACAGACAAGACGTACCTTGAGCTCGGACTCCCGCTTCACCTGCTCCATCTGGAAGGCCAGCTGCTCCTTCACCCGTGCCACCTCCTCCTGGCTCTGCTGCGTCACCGTCAGCTGCTTGGCTGTGTCTGCGTTCTGCAAGAGCAGGGAACAGGCTCCATACTCTGCCACTGTCCCCAGCTGGCTCTGCCTGGGACCGGAGCCACCCTGCCCCGCGCGGGCCCACCTTCCGGAGCAGCTCCGCGTGCATGCTGATGAGCTCGCTGTGCTTCTCCTTCAGCCTGTTGTAGCGCGCCTCCGTGGCGCTGGCCTTCCCTGCGGGCAAGAGGTGTGACGCTCAGGGCAGGGCTGGCAGGGGCTGTGGTCACCCCCACGCACAGGGGGACAGGTGCCCTCGACCCTCATCCCACGCACTCTCGGCCTCCTCGCGCAGGCTCTGGCTCCGCTCGCCCTCCAGCTGCGCGGCCCTCAGCTGGGCCAGCTCGTGGCGGAGCTGCTCGTTGTCCACCAGGGCCTTCTGTTTCTGCTTCCGCTGCTCCTCCAGCTCGGCCTCCAGCGCGTTCACCTGGCCCTTCAGCTGCGAGATGTAGCGCTGGGCCTGCGGGGGCGGGGGAGACACGGCGTGGGGCAGGCGTGGGGCCCTGCCAGCCTGCGCGGGGTGCAGCCCTCCCTCTACCCCCCTCACCTCCAGCTTGATCTTCTCCAGCTCGCTGCGGAGCGTCTCCACCTCCCTCTTCAAGTTCTCAATCTGGAGGTCCCTGGGGACAGAGTTCAAGGTCAGTCAACTAGAAAAATCGAACTTGGTGGCCACTTGGGATTGGGGCACCTCAGGAGCTCACATTCCCCACCGTGGCCTTTCTAGACAGAAGCGTCCCGAGCACAGCTCAGGGAGGCCGTCTCCAGCCCCCCAGCCCAGGCAGCTCCCCAGGCCCTCACCTGTCGTCCTTCAAGGAGCCATTGGGGGGTCCAAACGTCTGATCAAAGAGGTCAGTCACCACCTGCCATAGCAAAGCACGGTGACCCCCACCCCACTCACCTGTGCCCTCCAGACGGGGGGCAAAGGGAGGCTTAGTCATCCCGACACCCCTTGGCCTCGTGCTGCAGCTGGAGGCCCTGCTGGGGATGCGGGAGGCAAGCCAGGGGCTCTCACCACTGGCTCCCCGGCCGGGGGCCCGGTGCTGATCTCGATGAGGTTCTCCGGCTCCTCGTCCTCTGGGGTCTCCTCTGGGATCACCACCACAGGCTTGATGTGCTCGGCTAGGGCGGAGGCCCGTAGGAAGTTGGGGGGTCCCTGCAGGGGCAGCAGGTGGGAGCCACTTAGCCGCCTCCAAGGAATCCCGTGCAGGGCCCAGCCAGGACCCCGAGGGCAGGGGCAGCCGCGGGGAGGGCGCAGGTACCTCGGGCAGCCGGGGGATCTGGATGAGCCGCTTGAAGTAGAGCATGTCGGAGGCTCGTCGGAAGAAGTTTCTGAGGCTGTGGGCAGAGTAGGACAGAGGGGACGTCATGGAGGAGCCACAGAGCCTCTTCCCAGCCATGCCTCAGCCCTGCCCTCCCCTGGGGCTGGTACCTGTGAAACTGCTCGTGGAACCGGTCCCTGTGGCCTTGCAGGGTGTCTGCCGGGAGACCTGGGGCAGGGGGCGCACGAGTTTAATGGGCCTCTCTGTGCACGGCTTCGTGACTCCCCTCCCCTTCCCTTGTTCCTGCACACGCTAGAAGCCATCAGGTTCGAGATCCCTGGGGACCTGGCCAGTTCTGCCCCACCCCCACAGGGGGGGATGAGATCCCTGGGGGAGGGTTCGGCTCTCCATTTTCTGAGCCACGCGTGGACAGGACAGCGCTGTGGCCACGTCAGGCCTAACCCCTGGGCTGATACTGAAACAGCTCACACACCCTAGGCCGGTGGTTCTCAAAGGGTGGTCGCGGGACGAGACCCTGCAAAACTCAGGTGGGAGACACTCGGGATCGGGTGTCCACAGAGAGTCTACGCCACTCTTCTCACTGCATCTTTTCTGTTTTGGAAAACAGTCGTTTTTCATAAAATGTATGTTATGTTAATGGGTAATGAGATTATGCTGCTATTTTTAAATCAGTAAGTATCTTCATAATTTCTCCATTTTCCCTTGTGACAGCGAATGACCGTGCAAGCCGCGCAGGCAGCCCGGGCCGGCGACTCACAGGAGTGTAGCTTGAACAGGAGCTTCACCGTGTAGTGGTACAGGTGGCTGCAGTCCTGGATGACCTGGATGAGTGGGGCCAGGCGGCACTGGCCCGAGGACATCTGGGACACGGCGATGGCTGTGTTGAGCTGCCGGAAAACTGAGCAGAAGAGGGACAGGAGAGAGAGGGCGCGAGCCTGTGGGAGCCGGAGACGCAGGCCTGGGCGGCCTACTCCATGCCAGGGCTAGTGCCACGCACATGGCCACCCTGCCAGGGCAGCTCGAAGATGAGGCGACAGCTTGGGCAGCCGCTAAAGCCCGTCCGGCTGGAAAGACGGGGGCTCCCAGGCAGTTCTTAGACACCAGCGGGCTCCTGGTCTCCAGGACAGGGCCCCACGAGCTGGTGGCTGCCCCAGGCTGTGACCAGATGCTCCCGCGAGCCAGGTCAAGGGTGAGAGCAAGGTGAGGGCAAACGAGCTCCAGCTCAGCTGGGAAAGGGTTTCCAGAGGCCACTGCCGGGGTGGGCTGGGACGAGGTGCCCAAATGACAGGGCTGTGGACAGCTCGTGCCCTGAGCCTCAAACCTGCTGAGTCGCACAGAGGGAAGCAGGCTGAGGCCCGAGCAGCCCAAGTGCCGCATTTCACAGACACGGGAAAAGGCTGGGCTTCTCCAAAGTCACACAGCAGTGAGGTCAGGATGGCTCTGCAAACCCAAGTGACCCAGAAGCCTCACTTGCACCCAGGGCCAGTCTCTCCTGCCCCTGACAATTGGGCCTTGTATCAGAACTACCAAGTAGGAGGGACAAAGGACAAACATGAGGCTGCCTCTGCCTTGGCTGGCAGCTTCTCTGAGACAGAGAGAGGAATAACAGCAGGCAGCAGGCCAGAGGGAGAGCGGCCAGGGCGGCCCCACTCAGGACAGCCCCAGCTTGGGTCCTGCTCCTGCCTTGCCTCGGGAGGGCCGTTTGCAAACCTCTGCAGTAACAGGAGCGCACCCGGGAGAAGGGCGAGGCAAAGCACCGTCTCTCACCCTTTTTTTTTTTCTTTTTTAGACAGGGTCTCACTCTGTGGCCTAGAGGTACAGTCACAGCTCGCTGCAGCCTCGAGTTCCTGGGCTCCAGTCTCAGCCTGAGTAGCTGGGACTACAGGCAGGCACCACCATGCCTTGCTACTTATTTTTAATTTATTTTCTATACAGATGGGGTCTTGCTATGTTGCCCAGGCTGCCTTGGCTCTTTAAATAAATTTCTAATTACTAGTGTCATACTAAGTACGTTTTCCTTGTGCAAAATTAAAACCCATGTAAAGTCCTGCTTTGGGTTTTACATACGTATATACATACTGTTCTGCGATCTGCTTTATTTCACACAGCAGAATGTTTCTAGATCTTTCCCAGCTATAGCAGACTCAGATGCATCTCTCTTAACAGTCGCCCTCCGGTCCCTGCTACACGCTGGCAGTGAGATGTAGCCAGTTCTCCACCAACGAGCGTTTAGGACGTTTCTGTTTTTTGCTGCTACAGACCTTGAGGCAGGGACCCCTGCACCTGCCACCCGTGCAGGGCCAGGGTTCTCGAGACGTGCTGGCGCCCGGGCCTGCCGGTGCGCCCTTCCTTGTGTTTCATGGAAACACCAGTGTTGCTGGGCGGGAGCACGCCTGCGGGTCTTCTCCACTGCCCTGTGGGGACGGCCGCCTGCCCACACCGGCCTCCTCCTGTGCCAGGGGCAGCACAGGGCAGGGACTCGGGGGACCTGGCTCCCAGCTGGTAGCCTCTGTGCCGTGAGGGGCTCAGGCTTAGTGCGTCTCTGCTAGGACACAGAGCCTGGCACCTGGGGCCACACCTCCGGTCATGTGTCCTCTGCTCCCATGCCGGGTCCCGGGTGGGCCTTCCTCAGGCAGAGGGCCCAGCTCCCAGCCGACCTCTCATCCTTCGGAACCGGCTATGAGTCAGGCTCACCCAGCCAGAGCCCAGGCCTGGGGACTCGGGAGCCTTCCCAAACACCACCAACGCCTTAGAAAAGCATTTGCCACTTGCCCTCCGACAGAGAGCTCCGAGTCACCCGCAAGTTGTTTGAAGCTGCCACCTAGAACAATCACCCTCAGCCGGCGGGGGCCTCTGAGATTTCCTGTCCGGCTGCCGGACTCCAAGGAGAGGAAGTCTGACGTGACCCAGAGGCTTTTTAGAACAGAAAATGGGTACGAGGACTCAAACCGACTCGAAGAGGCGGCTCACACCCATGTCCACACCCCACGTCCTCCCTGTCTTGGGGCCACCAGAGTGACGCTCACTGGCCGGAGGGCAGCCGAGCCTCCGCCCTGCACATGGCTGCTGAGGCCTGGCGACCTGGGGGCCGGGAGGCCTCTGCTGTGCTTTGGAGG